AACTGTCCAATTGACTGGGCAAAAATGTGATTCAAGGCTTGAAACTTGGTATGGGAAATCTTAGGGGTCTAAGATGGTATATGAAAGTCACATGAAGCATTGATGGTCCAAAAATCCTTGTGCAAACTCAAATCCTGATTTCAGGCTAACAATGCAAGGTGAGGTCTTGAGCTGAGCAAACCCTAATCTTGTCTTGAGTCCAAAGAGTCTTGTGAGAAAAATCTTGATAAAATGAGAGGGAAAATTTTGGGGTACAACACTTGGCATGATGCAAATTTGCAGGTTTTTTGTAGTCTTATGGACTGCACAATATGGTTGTTTTGACATCAGGCTGCATGTTTAGGGACTGGTTTTACAGGGCAGCATGTTTATCTTGGACCGTTATGGTTTTCTTATGGCTGGACAGGGGCAACATTACAGGACAACAAGACAACAAAACTTTTTTTGGACATGTTCTATGGTATGAAGGATTGAAAATTAGGTTTAGAACAAAAGTCTTGTGTAATTGCTTTATTTTTATGCAAAGTTTCTTATGTAACTTGTAATACTTGTAATTGGCTTGTGATATTGCCATGATTAAAATGAGGGTATAATGAACAAATTTGATTCTTGTATTTCCAACATTGATATAAACTTGAATTGATATAAATAATGAAAGCCTTGGATGAATATTGAATGGCATCTTGATCTCGAACATTGTATGAATTTTGAGTGAATGATGGTAGACATGAACGAATCAATGATGATGATGAACGATGCTTAGAACATGAATGAAACTCACTCTTTGAATTCATGATGAACTTGAATAATGAACGAGCTCTTGTTTGAATGCAAACTTGAATGAATCTTAATGAAAGTTCAAATCTCAACGATAAAATTCAAATCACCTTGAACTCCTAACTTTAATTTCCCCAAATTTAAGTTGACTTACAATTGAAGTAACAAGTGTTTGATGAGAATAAAAAATTGTACCTATCAAAATAAGTTGTAACTTATACTTCAATCCACCATAATGAACAATGCCTTTGAAGAAACTTATTATGATTTGAAAGTAGAAGTTAAGAATTGCCTAAGTCAAAACATGACCTATAACGTTTCGGTAAATTTCTTGGCTTTCCAAGCACAATTTGACTTTGATTTTTGAAGAAATCTCATAGACAACACTATTGGTGATACTTTGCAAAATGAATCGCCTCAGAACGTCGAAAAATGAGGAAGTTATAATCCTCGAAAGTTTGACAAGATCTTCTTGGAATTAGGTCAAATTCATAAAAGGACCTCTAAAGTATTCAAATTTTTGATGATCCTCTGCACACAACCAACTCTTGATTTGTAAAGAGAAGTTGGATATGACGTCAAGGAGAGTCATACGCAAAAAGAACCACTTAAAAATATTGAATAATAAAGAAGTTACAATCGTTTGAACTTGATCTTGAAATGTTGACTTTTGGTCGAAGCGTTTTGAATTAACTTGCAAACTTGATCCATCCTCGCATTCCCATCCATATTGATGCACATATGGACTAGTGGTGATAAAACCTTGACTGTGATTTTGGTTAAAGGCCAAACTTTGATGAAGTAGTCTTTAATAACTTGTGATTCACCATATTTGAACACTTAAGGGATCCAAAACCCTAATTGAGGCGCAACATCTGACGCTCTTGATTTTAGACCTGTCTTTGCACATGAAAGCAAAGAAACACAAACATGCACCTTTGTATGGGATTAAAGATGTTAGTGATTCATAAGATAAGATGTTCACAACACTTGATAATATCTGCATAAGCAATGCTCGAGGGTGAGAGGGTTAAAAAAACCAATTGTATCTCATGACCTTGATGATATGTGAGAATGCAAATGAATGTGGGATCTTAGGTCAAAAATTGGGGTATGACACTATGTGCTTGAAAAAAATTAACTAGCATTTCCTAGCGTCTTCTGAATTTTTGATTCCTTGAAAAAATTACCGAATCTGTTCTAATACAAGTATCATAAAACTTTGACGATTTTGAATGACAATCTTGTTCTTGTAATGTTGAGCTAACTTCTTTAGATTTAGTCTATCAAGGCTTAGAATATCTGCTTCAGAGTGAATGAATTTTGTCTTTGCATCCTTTAAAGAATTCCATTCAAGAATTCATATATCAAGAATTTCTTTGATTATATTGCGGATGAATCAATAAGCTTCCTTTCCTAAGCAATTTTCAGTTTTCTACGATGCTTTCCAAAGGAAACAATATTCAAAACTTCTACATTAGATCTTCTACATGCTTGATTAGTTAGGCTTCATATGTTGTGACTCAGAAATTATTTCTTAGAGATTTGAATTCCTATGTTCAAGATTTCTGACGTTTTTTTGCAGACTTCATCATAAAGTTCCTATGAATCAAAATCAAAAGATAACAATCTTTCTTCTTTACTTAAAGAAATTCCTAATGATATTTTTATGATAAAGTCAAGGGTGGACTAATCTGTTTCTTGAAAACATCTCATACTCATAAAGAATTAATCTTCACCAAGCAAGATTTCTTGTATTCTGATGATTTGATCTTTGAGCAAATACATTGTTCATCTAATCGTAATTTTTTTTAACAAAAGCATTCAATAGATATTACTTCTTACCTGATGAATCTGTCTTGTCAGTTGATTCTTCAATTTTCTTTTATTTCTAGAATTTAGTCTTCGTCTAGAAGAGCTTCATCAAAAGAGGTTGGCTCAGTCAAGGACACTAAACCCAGAAGCATTTCTTCAGGAGGAGAGATTGTGATTCTGCTTTTCGTCTTGACATATCAGAAAGAGCAATAATTGCATCTGAATTAGGAGCTTCTGATACTACAGCTTCTGGTATCTTCTTGGCTTCTGAATAGGTTATCTCCAAAAGAAAAGATTTCGTTGTTAACATATTCAGTTTACGAAGAATCAGAGACTTGCTCAAGGTAATCCATTTGGTTACAATTCAGTACTCAATCATCATCTTCTGATATGAGACTGTAATTGAAGGTGGAGTAACTATCACCCAGAGTATTTCTTCACACAACATTTCGATCTTTATTTGACACTGTTTGGTGTTTGATATCCATCAATAACAGAACCAGGCTTTGATACCAATTGAAGGTGTGAAGAAAACACAAGAAAGGGGGGGGGGGGGGGGTTGAATTGGGTTTCTCATTCTTAAGAAACTTTCGTCTCTTAACATTTTTATGTTAAGTGATGCTTTCTAATATATTGTAGAAGCATAAACAATTTAAGCATAAGCAAAAGTAAAGAACACGTGATATATTCTGCTTCACTTGAGAAACCCCCAAGCTAGTCTAGTCCATTCTACCAAGGTGATTTCTCCTTGAACTCAAGGACTTAATCCACTATAACTAAACTGATTATAATCTGCACGGGAAACCACCAGCGACTAACATCCAATGACACGTTCAGAGATCCAAACTAGATATATTGTTTATTGACCTAACAAAATCCGATTCTTCAGAATCTCCTATCATGATTTCCCATAATGATTGCAACCATTATCTTCTTGATACCAGACCTTCACTCAACCTCTCAAGGGACCTTGTAATGATATGTTCAATGATCCAACCAGATATAACAATCATTGACTTGATAGTATCTGATCCCGCAGAATCTCCTATATGTTTTTACAAGGTTTGTTTACAAAAGAATGCTTCTATACAAGCAAGTGTAAACTCAATTAATTACATCAGAAGATCCTAATAAACACTAAAAATATTACATTGTATTGTAGCTTTAATGTGTGGTCTTCTTTTCTTCAAGTAGCTTCTTTACGGACAACAACCCAAGGCACTTAAATCGTTGAAGTCTTCTTCTTCATAAGCTCCTGAAATCTTTTTTGATCTTGATGTAGTAAAGATAAGAACTTATTCATCTTGATTCATCTTAGAATATTCTGGATATCTTCCCTTGTTCTATTTAATTCAATGATCACTTTAAATCATAACATTCATGTTGTGGATTTGTAATTGGAGCTTCTATGATCATCTTCATTATCTTTTGCGGCTTAGCAAGCTTCTTGCAGTATATGAATTAAGCACATTATGAATCAATGAATTCATTGTTATCTTGTAATCAATAGCATGATTCAAAAATCATTTTGATAACAGTTGTTCTTGTTGTTGTTATAGTGGTTGATAGCTTTGGTTGTGTTCCAATAATGGAAACTTTTATTTTAACATTGAACACCAACAACATTTTAAGCATATGATCTTTTTCTTGTATAGCCAAGCAAAATAGAGTCGTTGGCTATTTAGAAAAGAGACGTTACATAATGATGAAAATAGTACTGCTACATCCTTTTCTTATCCACAATTCAAGCTAGTGGAGAGGTAGTGGGATAAGAATTTTTCATATTGTGTACTTTTTTACCACGTGAACATTATCTTCTTTTCTTCTGCACTTAAGAGTCTTCTGCGAGCATGAGTTTAGAAGCGAGAACATAACACATGGTCATCAAAACTTCAAGTCTTTCAGAGACTTCTGAACTGCGTCTTCAGAATCTTTAACACTTGGTCGTGAGAACCTTTTATAGAACCTTGGGTCTTTAGAACTTCAAGTCTTCAGAGTCTTTAGAACTTCTGTCTTCAGAGTCTTTAGCAGTTGGTCTTTAGAACCCTTCTCTTAGAACCATGAGTCTTTAGAAACTTTAGTCTTTAGCATCGAGACTTAAGTATAACTTATTATCTTCATATCTTCTGACCGTTTCTTTAGAATCCTCTGTCTTCAGAAACATGAGTCTTCAACACCTGGACTTTAGTAGAAACTTCTATCTTCAGATCTTCTGACTTGTTTCTTTAGAGCACATTGTCTTTAAAAGCATGAGTCTTCAGCATCTGGACGTAAGCAGAACTTATGTCTTCAAATCTTCTGGCTTGTTTCCTTAGACAAACATCAGAGCCTATACTTCAGAAGCTTTTGGAGTGTCTTGCTATTGTTTATCAAAACTTGTATAGCGTAGAAGCGGAATTAATTCTCTTCTAATATCTTGGCACACCATTCATCAGAAGCAGAACCTGTTTGTTAAATACTCAAAAATAGAAAACATTAGAGTATCAAAATTGTTCATACAAACATACTCATTTCATATCATCAAAACTCAAGGATAATATTGCAAAACCAAATCTTCTTCTAATAAGAGATGCATAAATTTCAAGTAATGGTTGTCTACAATCAGGACATTTACAAAGTTCAAAGTTCATAATCAAAGATATATTTGGCTCAAATATCCCACACTCCAGAGCTATTGCCTTTCCTATTTTTAAGGTTGGCTCCGGTAACCATGCGTACATGTGAGATGACAAACATAGCATGTGTTGGTTTCCAAATTCTATACCTAACCTTAGTACCATCCTTATTTTGTAGTTGCCATGACACAATAAATTAGTAAAATGTTACACATTAAAAAAATGAGAAACTTTTAATTTTGAAACCATCACATACAGAAAGCCAATATATATCTTAAAATGAACATTATGTATCATATTAGTGTTTTAAAAATAGGTTAGTCACAAGTGCTTCATGGGCAGAAAATACAGCACATCACAACAAATGTTGTCAACAGATTCCTGAGAATTAGAAGGGCTAGAGGGCGGAAAGAGTTGATTGCTTAGATTGCCTCATCATCATTATCAAACTTCTTGCTGCACACAAATGGTTCTAGAAAGGCGTGAAGAACTTCATTCTGATACATTGCATGGTGCTGAGGACTGAGGATGGAAGTCAAGCCATCTATGCATTCAATACTCAGATCTTGAAGAAAAAGAGAAAACAAAACTTCTATGTCACTAAAATTATGAGGTAAAACAATACCAACCTCATCAATTATGTGAAACCAGCGGATTACAACCATCTTGTTGCCTCTGGAATCCTCGTATAATTCTTCCAAATAGGCATCAATACGTTTTTTCTCTTCTGCTAAAATAAACACAAAATCATTCACCTAAAAATAATTTGAAACAACAGCCGCGAGAAACAAATTTGAGTCAGATTACAAAACACATATGATAAACACAAGAAGATAAAAGTAATTAATTCATATGCAGGTGCAAAGATTTATGTTACACTGTCAGTGAACTATAATTAATCCAAAAATTTGATCTTCATCATATCTAACCTAAAATCCATACAAATGGATTGTAATTGGTTTAAGGTGTAATGCATCAAAATTACTCTTAAAAGAAAAGATGAAAAGTATATATGATGACTCACAGATATCTGAAAACCGTTATTCTCAAATGATTGATAGTGATTTCTTATTTTCCTACATGTCTGTGGTAACCATACCCATGAGAATTCTTGTATGGAATTGCGCACCTTCTGCATGTAACTATCCTGAAAAGAAAACAACAAAATAATTCAATAATATGATTTGATTCAAATCAAATTAGAGATTCAAGAAAGAAGAGTAACTGATTCAAAAGAACAGACAAAGGTTCCAATGAATACCTTGAAGGTTCCAATCTCAGGTTCATAAGCATATTTTCCAACCACCATAGTCGCTTCCCTGAAAGAAGAATCTGAAAAATTGAGAAGTAAACATAACAAACTTAATTTCAATAACAGAAAAAAGAATAATAGAAATATCCAGTAAATAAAACAAAAAATAAAATGAATAATAAACAAAAAATTGATTAGACAAATATGTGAAGAGGGCGGAGTAGTATTAAAATATCCATGGTTATGAATAGAGTCAATCTGATATTTGAAGAAAAGTTGTGGAAAAGACAAATTTGTTGGAAATACAAAGAAATGTAAACAAGTTATTGGAAAAAGAGAAAAGGAAAAGGTGTGTGACTGTTGAAATTTTCTCATGTCCTAAATAGTCTTAAAATCTTAAACGTCACACAACAAATAATAGGTTTAAATAATTTAACTTAATTAATAAATAAATTAAAATAAAATGAAATACATTAAAAGAAAGTTTCATGTTTTAGCAAAAATATAAATAGAAGAATGCAAGGGAGACTGACAAGTGGCAAATTTGTCAAAGAACGCATCTTGCATTATTATATTGTATAGATGAATGGTATATTGTGGGATTTAGTGAAATCTATTTTATGTTTTTTGAATAATTGTGTAGATAACTGAAAAATTCTAGTTGAATTGTTTAAATAATTGAAAAGAGTGAAAATAATATAAAATATTAAGTGAGACTCATTTAAATAACTCAAATGTGTATTATGGATGTTGATGCTCTTAGTCATTGAAAGAAAGGTTTGATCATTGAGTACACAATTTTTAGTTTATAGAATATTCTCTCTTGCAATGACTTATGCTTATAAAAATTTCCCCTACAACCTTGTAATTTTTCAAAAATAATCATTTAAACCTTTTTACATAGTAATTATTTACCATTCTTTCAATTTTTTACTCTATGAATTAATCTTTCTGAATTTGGTGGAAATGCATCACTATAACGGTTTATAGAATTACTTCATACTCCCTCCGGTCCTTTTTATAAGGAACACTTTGAAAAAATCACACAAACCAAGGAAGCTAATTTTTTTATTAATAATTTTAAAAATGATTATTTCATTCCAAAACTAACCTTCAAATATTAATCATAGTCATTATTATTCTTGTCTCTTGTAATTATCAATACACCACTATGCTTAATTCCAATAATATCTTTTGCTATTCACAAGAAGAGTTATGTTAATTACCACACATATTACTCCATTGCTACTCAAGCTTCACGTTGGATTTAATTTCAGAAAAACAAAACTTTTGTTAATTTGGCTTTCCCACCATTTTATATTAGCAATTTACCTCCAAATTTTTAGCAAGTAAACTTTTGAAATTTCAAAGGTTAAATTTTGAAACATTATCACAAAAACTCTACACTTTCAATCACTCTCTATATAAAGAGATTGAGCTTTCCATATTTACTTTCATTCATCCTAAAAAATGCCTCTTGACATAGACTTAAATATCACTTTCTCTTTTCCAGAAGAACAATCATCTTCTATATGTGAGTCTATTGCACCATCAAATATTGAAACACCTCAATTTGAGTTTGAGCTAAATCATCCATCAAATCTTATTGTTGAAGATAACATGAACCAAGATGTGCCATCAAATATAGAATCATCTGAATTTGAGTTTGAGTTAACTCATTTCCCATATGTCAATGATGAAGGTAACATGAATCAATTTTTTTCCATTCAATAAGAAACAAGCAACAATGATTCTTTTTCAATTGAAAATGGTGAGTAATTATTTCAAATAATAGTAGTGACACTATCATTTTATTTTCTTTTCTTATTTTAATTTTCTTTCGTATTTTTTTGAATTACAAGTGTATTATGAGTAGCATGAAATTATAAAAAGTAGGTTGAAATTATGTACAGTAGCATGAAATACATATATTCAAATTATCATGTTTATGGATGAAAATACATGCATGAAATTATACTATTTGTAGGCAAAATTATCACCTTTAATTGATTCTTTAACTCTTCCATCACATTTTTATCATTTGTGCAGACTCATTGACAAGTGAAATCAATTCAAGAAAACGGGGATTTCTAACTAATGAACAAAGGAAGGTTATATATCATATACTGTTGAGTTTGAGTCCGGATGGGAAGTCACATAAATATGGAGTAATACCACGAATAGTTGCACTATACAATGTTCATAGAAGTGTCATTTACCGTATATGGAATCAAGTAAAGGACACAGGTAATGTTTGTCATAGAAAAACATTGTGTGGAAGGAAAAGGGTCCAATTGGACTTTGAGAGAATGCGTCAAGTACCGTTATCAAAACGATCAACCTATCGAGCTCTATCTAATGCTCTTAACATTCCTAAGACGTCATTGATAAGGTTGCAAAAGTCAGGAGTTATACGACGTCATTCAAGTACGCTTAAGCCGTATTTAAAAGAGGATAACATGATTAATCGTTTAAGGTTTTGTAAGGATATGCTTGATAGTAACAGCTTGCCTCATGATCCAAAGTTTATTTCTATGCATAATATTGTTTTCATCGATGAAAAATGGTTTTATATTACCAAAACCAAAAACAATTATTACTTGCTTTCGGATGAAGAAGAGCCATATAGAACATGCAAAAGCAAGAACTTTATTGGTAAGCTTATGTTCTTAGCTGCTGTGGCTAGACCTAGGTTTGACGATGAAAAGAATGTGACGTTCTCAGGGAAGATTGGTATATTTCCATTTGTGTATGAACAACCAGCTAGAAGAAGTAGTGTCAATAGAGTAGCAGGGACATTAGAAAGGAAACCTATAACTTCGGTTACAAGAGAGGTGAATAAATCTTTCTTAATAAGTAAAGTCCTACCAGCCATTAAGAGTATGTGGCCAAGAGAAGATGTAGGGAAGATAATCTACATTCAGCAAGATAATGCAAGGTCACATATTTCTACAAATGATCCCGATTTTTGTAGAGCAGCAAGTGAAGATGGGTTTGACATTCAAATGACTTGCCAACCACCAAATTCACCGGATTTGAATGTATTGGACTTAGGCTTTTTCAATGCCATACAGTCTTTGCAGCAACAAGAAGCGGTGAATTCAATTGACGAACTTATTGATGCGGTGCAAAAAGCATTTGATGATTTTTCCTGTCAACAATCTGATAAAATTTTTTCTACTCTTCAATCATGCATGATTGAGATAATGAAGATCAAGGGATCAAACAAGTACAAAATTCCTCACATGAAGAAAGACATGATGTATAACCAAGGTTGTATACCTACTCAATTAAGTTGTGATTCTTTGTTAATTCAAGAAGTCACTGAATATCTTCAAAGTTTTGATGATTAATTAGCAGGTGTTTGTTTTGTAATTTTCAGAATTTTTGATTGGATGAAAATGAAATGTTTTGATTCATTATATTGTTACTTTCAGAGCTACTTGAGAGCTACTTTCAGAATCTTTGTTTTAATTTATATTGCCTCTTGAGAGCTACTTTCAGAATTTTCTATAATTTTAACTAAAATGTTTTAAAGTCTCCAAACTAGATAACTTGTTCAAACAAAAAATAAATGACCATGAAAACAACACAATGGATAAATAGCCTAAAATCAAATGCAAATGTAACCTCCTAAGATTTAACTAAACAGAATAATTTTGCAAGTGGTTTTTTTGTTGTATATGAATGTACTAATTAACTCCACAAAACTTTACCAAAGTTACTTGTAGTAGCAGTAACATAAGACTTTATGTATTGCCTTGGAGTATAATTTTATCGTTACAGTGGCGCCGAAGTTGCGTATTGACAATTCAATTTCGTTTTGTATAAAAATAACGAGAGTTTTGTTTTGTTCAAATTAACATAGTAAATCAAAAGTGAAAGTTTTATTCTGTTCGATGTTCGACATAACATAGTACCACAAGAACATTACTAAAATGAAAAGGATTTATCAATATCCATAAAATTTCCATATTTCAAAAACAAAATATCCATAACATTTCTTTTCAACTAAACTCGATAAAAAAAAATTCGCAGAACATTCATAACCTCATCCTTCACAGCTTCACGTTCAAGGCTGAAAGGTTTTTCTTCCTCTGCATCTTTGTTAAGTTCTTCCTCTGCATCTTTGTTAAGTTCATGAAGATTATCAATCATGTCCAAGGAACCAGAAGTTGAGTGAGAACCATCTCTAGAATTTACCTCTGTAATTTCTTTTGCATCTTTCTCATTCCATATTTGCATCTTCCTTCTAATGATTGGTTGTCTACCTTCATCCTCACCCTCGATATCAGATTCCTCAACAATCTCTTCAACAATTGTAGTAGAATCAAGTGAATATTCAATAGTCTCACTTTCCACTTCAAAAGAATCTTCAATATCTGGAAACTTGTTCAAATCAATATGAAATTTCTGTTTCCCAGCAGAAGACTTAAATCCATCTTCATTAGAGTTATGAGATTCCATGTGTATGCTAATGTGAGAAACAATAGAATATTACAGTGAAGAAAAAGAAAACGTGAATATATTGAATTTAGGTAGTGCCTGTTTGTGTGCTTGCAACTTTCCCTCCAAATTTTTGCATGGGGAGTATGTTTATGTAACTAATGCACTTACATTGAAAAGTGTTATCTAATTTTATTTAATAAGGGTAGAAATGGAATTATGTATTTAATAAAATTTAAATTTAAAGAGTGTTTCTTATAAAAAGGACCAATTTTTTTTTGCAAAGTGTTCCTTATAAAAAGGACCGGAGGGAGTATTTATTATCCGGGTATATATTTTATTAATCGAATTACTTTCAATCAAGTTTTGTGATATCTATAGATGTTTATCGAATAAATTGCATTATAGTTATATGGTGTTATAAGCTTTCACCAGATAACTTAGTTGTTAAGTATTTTTGTGTATTAGAATATTGTTCACTTTATTAAAAGTAATTAATTAAAAGCAATTTTTCAATTAATTAAAAGTAATTAATTTCAAAAAAAAATATTCTCCTCACATATAAGTTATCCAACTTACCTTCATCATGATTTTGAGTCTTTGGAGCAACT